AGTTTAGTTCATAAGGGGCGGGGCTTGGTGGTAGAGGGGGGCGTGGCCTCGGTACAGGTACATGTCCAGGGTGGAGGGGGCGGGAGGAAACAGGAAGTGGGGGGGCAGGAACATCAGCTCCATCCCAACGGACTGACGCTTCCACTTCGTCCTGCGAGGAGATTATTATCATTATTACACATTCAGAACAACAACAACAACAACAAGGCAACTTTATTCATACAGCACTTTTCGACACAAGGCGTGTGTGTGTGTGTGTGTGTGTGTGTGTGTGTGTGTGTGTGTGTGTGTGTGTGTGTGTGTGTGTGTGTGTGTGTGTGTGTGTGTGTGTGTGTGTGTGTGTGTGTGTGTGTGTGTGTGTGTGTGTGTGTGTGTGTGTGTGTGTTACCTGCGGTTCTGGTACCAGGTCTTCACCTGCGTGTCTCTCAGCTGCAGCTCAGCAGCCAGCCTCATGCGGTCCTGAACACTCAGGTACCTCTGGCTCTGGAAGCTCCTCTCCAGGCGGAGCAGCTGCTGCTCGCTGAACGCCGTGCGCGCCTTACGCCCTTTCTTCAGCCGCTGCTCCCCACTCTCTTTATTTATAAAGGACAAAACAAAGAATGTATTTTCTGCCTGAGGTCTTTTGGGGCGAGCAGAGAAACTCTCCTGTTGTTCTTTACCTCTGTGATTGTGTCTGTTCTACAGTACAGCAACACTACCTGGTACAAGTGTTGGTCTACTGCTTTCAAATCTAACGGCTCCACCTGTTAGCGATCTGCTCACAGAAACCAAAACGCTGCAAGAAGCTCAAAACACACTTTCTTATTAAAGGTAGGGTAGGTAAGTTTGAGAAACCAGCTTGAGTGCGCTAGAATTTGAAAATACACAACCGGAGAAAATCTGCCACTTCCTCACAGAGCCCCTCCTCCAACACACACGAACGAGCACATGACCAATGAGGGCACGAGATAAGTTTGTGCACAGATGGAAGGCTGACAGGCAGGTAGGCCATCCAGTTATTTTAGCCGGGCCGGCTCAGATGATTGGTCGTGCTTTTTACAGTACTACAGCTTCCACAGATGATATTTATTTATGGATTTGTTGTCAAAGCACTTCAGATATTCATTGCTATCGGGATGTTAAGAGCATTCCATGGAATATAACAACAAGTGTATCTCGAGTCGGTTTCTCAAACGTACCTACCCTACCTTTAATGACTAATGACCAGCTCCTTATCAGACGTGAAACAGCTTCTGAAACGTCATCATTTATTGTTTAATAAGCTTTATTATTTATGATTAATTTTAATTTAATTCAAAACTAAATAAAATTTGATGAATTAAATAAATAAAAAAGCTCTTTTGTTTTTAATATGAATAATATGTTATCTTATAATATGAGGTTTTGATGAACAGTCCGAGCATCAAACTGAACTCATCTTTTAATTCATGCATTAATAATTATACAAGCTTCATATTACCTTAAAACATCATTTACAACTATAAGAATAATAATGAACTTGTTCCAGATGAAAACACTGGATTATTTATAATAAAAACACTGACATTGCCTCTGATTAAAGCATTTATTATGATTTGATTTACCTCTAAATTCGCTGTCAGGAGAGGAGCTGCCGTGACTTCTATCCCGAAATCCTCCCGGGTCAGAGAGCACCGGGACCGGGTCACAGAGCACCGGGACCGAGTCACAGAGCACCGGGACCGGGTCACAGAGCACCGGGACCGGGTCACAGAGCGGCCGACAGTCCGCTAAGATGTCCCGGATCAGGAAGGATGGACCGGGCCTCGGCGCGGACTGCAGCCGGGGAACAGGCTCTCTGAGCGGGGGGCGAGGCTCCGAGCAGCCGCGGCAGAACGCAGGAAGCTCCATGTCCCGCGGAGACTCACCTGAGGACAGGCAGGGGCTCCGGGACTCTTTAAACTTTAAATACCAGATGTAATGTCTCCTCTCTCCTCTCTCCTCTCTCCTCTCTCCTCTCTCCTCTCTCCAGATGCACTTTTAAAGTTTTTAAAAATAATAACAAGGATCAGATTTAATAAATAAAAAAGTCTAAACTGAAGATCAGCAGCTCCACACACACAGAGAAGATATGAGGAGTAATTAATCTGCTCCTCCTCTCAGAGTGTGTGTGTGTGTGTGTGTGTGTGTGTGTGTGTGTGTGTGTGTGTGTGTGTGTGTGTGTGTGTGTGTGTGTGTGTGTGTGTGTGTGTGTGTGTGTGTGTGTGTGTGTGTGTGTGTGTGTGTGTGTGTGTGCATGCATGTGAGTGTGTGTGTGCATGCATGTGAGTGTGTGTGTGTGTGTGTGTGTGGTGAGTGTGTGCGTGTGGTGCGTGTGTGTGGAGTGTGTGTGTGTGTGTGTGTGTGTGTGCATGAGTGTGTGTGGTGAGTGTGTGTGTGTGTGTATTCAGTCATTGTGGGGACCGCCTCTCTTTTGGGATAAATAGCTGTAAATCATTCTTGGATCTTCTGATGATGAACACTTGGTTTTCTGTCAGCGTGAGACCGGATCAAACACACCGAGTAAAACTGAGAGAGACGATCAAATGTGGAACAAATGTTAAGATTTGAGAAAATGTGGATGTCACAGAAACAACCCTGCAGCTCAGACTCTGGTATTTACTGACTTATTCTATGTGGTAGAATGACATCTCTTCAGCTCGTGTTGCAGACCCTCAGGAGAACAACTAGTCTAGTGGGTAGAAGGGGGTATCATGCACCCCCCTGAAATATACTTTTAATCAGCTTTTCTAGATTCTAATTGTGTAGAAAACGATTAGCTATGTTCAAAAGTTGGCAAATTGTCCCACGTATATTTGTAAGCCCTACCCATCATCTGGCGTTGGCCAGATACATTGGTCCGTCATGTGGTTATGATTGGACCCTTTCACACATCCATGAACTATATTGGGACGCTCACACGCCGCAAAATGTGTGGGTCTGGATATGCAGAGATTCTGTTTGAGGCACAACTAGTGACAAGTGGAAAGGAAAGGCATACGCCAAGTCCCTCTGTTGCCTCAAAACTGTGTGAGTCAATGGAGAGGCGGTTCATTGTGGAGGAAAGCGTCCTCATCACTGACCCTGCTGCGCTTCACAACATGACCCAGAGAGCACCTCGATGAAGCCCCCAAAGACCCCTCAACTCCTCATCGAGAAGAATCACGCCTATGAGGAGAAGGTGCGCACCTGGGAAAGACAGCTGCCTTCTGGATGTCGTTTATTACCCACTGTCATCTTGCCTTCGTGCTCCTCCACTCCGTGAAGACCAACAACATCCAGTTGTTTCACAAATGTAATGGAGAGATGGCAAAGATCTTCTTTGCATTTGATGGACACAACTACTCAAGGTTTGTGCTATTTCAACCCAGTCTCACGGCATTTCGTGTTATTAGTCACGAAATTAATGTAATCTATTGATTCGTGTTCACCAACACGATTTTCACCTTTTTTTCGTGTCACACAGAACGATTTTAAATGCAATGTATTTCTATTGGTAGTATGTTTCGTGCCTGCAACACGTCTTTTTGTCCGGTCGGGTCTTGGAAGACCAGAAGCTGTGTGGTTCATAAACACATTTTCTTACTCAATATCTTACCCTAAGCCTAACCCTATCCCTTTTATTTTAAATTGTATAATGTCTGAGTTTTTTTTGCCGTCAGTGAGGAAAAGAAATGTCTCAGAGCCTCAGAATACTGACATCTGTATTTTATGTCATCTCTTTTTCCTTCTAATTTGTTATTATTTGGTGCAGGCACGAAACATACTACCAATAGAAATACATTGCTTCTAAAATTGTTCTGTGTCAGAATACTTAAATCTGTATTTTTTTAAATGTCTTTTTCCTTCTAATTTGTTATTATTTACATTGCTTTTAAAATCGTTCTGTGTGACACGAAAAAAATGGCGAAATCGTGTTGAACACGAATCAATAGATTAATTTCGTGACTATAACACGAAATGCCGTGAGACTGGGTTGGCTATTTACATGACAATTTACCAAATTGTCATTATGAGACAAGCTACACAGACATGTGTAATCTGTGCCTCTCCTTATCTGCAGATATCTGACTTGGCTGGAGGTCTATCTGACAAACCTGGAGAACATACACCCAGGGGCCAAAGACCTGCTTTCTTATGGCGCGTTTCCACTACAGCGCGGAGCACGGTTTAAGAGGGCTGTGACGTCAGCGGCCCGTCTTTGGTTGCGTTTCCACTTGGCCTAGTACCGGCCGGCGGGTCCTAATTCACAGTTTTTCTGGCCTCATAAAATCGTGGGTCTAGGGCCAGAGACAACGAGGCTGAGTCGGGCTGAGTATGCTAAACTAGAGAGAGCGTCGCTGGCAAGGGGGCAACAACTACAACAAGATGGACATATCTGACCGTGATTTAATTGTAATACACGTTTCAAAATGATGAAGTAACAACATACTGATACCGGTTAGTAAAAACCATGAATTAATGCTTTGACAAGTCTGCAGACAGACGGCAGGCGAAAAACCTTTTAAAATGCGTGTTTTCTAAATGGAGATTGGCTAAGCTAACGCAGTATATGCTCCGACCGTCCACACTCACAACAACGGCCTATACAGACATAAATAAAGCAGCGACTGTATTCTCCATGACACAGGCAGTCTGTGGTTTGTACTTGTTTAACTTTTGTCTAGTTTCTGAACAGATATGAGGAGCTGTGAGCTCTGAGTGCTAACAGCTAACGGCTGTGTTGTTTTTCTGGGGTCCTCTGAAGATCACGTCACGGCTCCGCCTACACTGCGTTACTATAGATACTACCCCAGTTCCTAAACTGTAATGGAAATGCGCCATAAAGTGAGCCAGTCCTAACGAGGCCTAGCCATAACGAGCGAGGCCGTGCGAGGCCATTATTTTGTATATATATATTTCTATACATATTTTTATATATATTTGTGTTTTGTATTCTGGATTGTGGGAAACGGTATTTCGATCTCTCTGTACACACAAACTGAAAGATTGACAATTGAACGACACTCAGATTTACGGAGCCTTTTTATTGGTGTTGAACATGATTACTCCTCATCAGAGTGGACCCTGAACGCCTCTCCGGGCCTGAAGACTCCTGAGGGCCCGCTGACGAGCCTCTGGGTCCCTGAAGGTGTTGAGAGCCGGAGCCACCTGAGAGAGAAAGAGAGAGGTTACACCTGAGAGAGAGAGAGAGAGAGAGAGAGAGAGAGAGAGAGAGAGAGAGAGAGAGAGACGAGAGAGAGAGAGAGAGAGAGAGGAGAGAGAGGAGGAGAGAGAGAGGAGAGAGAGAGGAGAGAGAGAGAGAGAGAGAGAGAGAGAGAGAGAGAGAGGTTACACCTGAGAGAGAGAGAGAGAGGTTACACCTGAGAGAGAGAGAGAGGTTACACCTGAGAGAGAGAGAGAGAGAGAGAGAGAGAGAGAGAGAGAGAGAGAGAGTACTCTTACCTGTGTGAGGGGGGGCAGTGTGTGTCGAAGGGGAGAGACGGTCAGCTCTCTGCTCCTCCTGTCTGGGATACACCCTGCTTTAAACTACACACACACACACACACACACACACACACACACACACACACACACACACACACACACACACACACACACACACACACACACACACACACACACACACACACCTTAAACTTTGTGGTTGCGGTGGGAAATTGGAACGTTAAGGTGGATGTTTGCAGGTGTAGGAGGATAGAAGGTTTGGAGAGGAGGTTAGGAGAGGAGGTGAGGAGAGGAGAGGAGGACAGGAGATGAGGAGGTTAGGAGAGGAGGTGAGTTTCTCACCCTCTTCTGTTGCTGCTTGCTGGTTTGATTCCTGCTGTTATGAATCTGTTCGTCCAGCCAGCGCTGTCCGTACTGATGAGAGAGGAGGACGCTGAGCGGGTCTGACGCCCTGCTGATCAGTTAGTCACTGTTACTATAGTTACTGTTATAGTAACCATTAACTGTTACTATAGTAACCATAATAACCATTAATATTATAGTAACATCATAATACTACTAGTAGTAACTATAGTAACAGTTAACCACTAACGAGAGTTTCCTCACTTGGTCGTGACTCCGAACGTGATGTCGGGCACCGCCGGGCGCCGTGAAGCCCCGCCCTTCTGTGGTGTGGGGGCGTGGCCCTGGCTATAGGCCCCGCCCATCTGAGCGCGGTATTGGCTCAGCTCCTTGGACGTCACGATGCCGGAGCGCACAGCGTCTCGGTTCAGAGACAGGAAGTCCGGAGGGAGGGGCTGCGAGGGGGCGGAGTCAGAACGCCTCTGCACCAACCAGCTGGAGAGGACTGAGAGAGAGACTACACTCAGGAACTACAACTCCCAGAGGACTAAGAGAGAGACTACACTCAGGAACTACAACTCCCAGAGGACTGAGAGAGAGACTACACTCAGGAACTACAACTCCCAGAGGACTGAGAGAGAGACTACACTCAGGAACTACAACTCCCAGAGGACTAAGAGAGAGACTACACTCAGGAACTACAACTCCCAGAGGACTGAGAGAGAGACTACACTCAGGAACTACAACTCCTAGAGGACTAAGAGAGAGACTACACTCAGGAACTACAACTCCCAGAGGACTGAGAGAGAGACTACACTCAGGAACTACAACTCCTAGAGGACTGAGAGAGAGACTACACTCAGGAACTACAACTCCCAGAGGACTAAGAGAGAGACTACACTCAGGAACTACAACTCCCAGAGGACTAAGAGAGAGACTACACTCAGGAACTACAACTCCCAGAGGACTGAGAGAGAGACTACACTCAGGAACTACAACTCCTAGAGGACTGAGAGAGGGACTACACTCAGGAACTACAACTCCTAGAGGACTGAGAGAGAGACTACACTCAGGAACTACAACTCCCAGAGGACTGAGAGAGAGACTACACTCAGGAACTACAACTCCCAGAGGACTGAGAGAGAGACTACACTCAGGAACTACAACTCCTAGAGGACTGAGAGAGAGACTACACTCAGGAACTACAACTCCCAGAGGACTAAGAGAGAGACTACACTCAGGAACTACAACTCCCAGAGGACTGAGAGAGAGACTACACTCAGGAACTACAACTCCTAGAGGACTGAGAGAGGGACTACACTCAGGAACTACAACTCCTAGAGGACTAAGAGAGAGACTACACTCAGGAACTACAACTCCTAGAGGACTGAGAGAGGGACTACACTCAGGAACTACAACTCCTAGAGGACTGAGAGAGAGACTACACTCAGGAACTACAACTCCCAGAGGACTGAGAGAGGGACTACACTCAGGAACTACAACTCCTAGAGGACTGAGACAGAGACTACACTCAGGAACTACAACTCCTAGAGGACTGAGAGAGGGACTACACTCAGGAACTACAACTCCCAGCCGGAGAGAGAGACTACACTCAGGAACTACAACTCCTAGAGGACTAAGAGAGAGACTACACTCAGGAACTACAACTCCTAGAGGACTGAGAGAGAGACTACACTCAGGAACTACAACTCCTAGAGGACTGAGAGAGGGACTACACTCAGGAACTACAACTCCCAGAGGACTGAGAGAGGGACTACACTCAGGAACTACAACTCCCAGAGGACTGAGAGAGAGACTACACTCAGGAACTACAACTCCTAGAGGACTGAGAGAGAGACTACACTCAGGAACTACAACTCCCAGAGGACTGAGAGAGGGACTACACTCAGGAACTACAACTCCTAGAGAACTGAGAGAGAGACTACACTCAGGAACTACAACTCCTAGAGGACTGAGAGAGGGACTACACTCAGGAACTACAACTCCTAGAGGACTAAGAGAGAGACTACACTCAGGAACTACAACTCCTAGAGGACTGAGAGAGAGACTACACTCAGGAACTACAACTCCCAGAGGACTGAGAGAGGGACTACACTCAGGAACTACAACTCCTAGAGGACTAAGAGAGAGACTACACTCAGGAACTACAACTCCTAGAGGACTGAGAGAGGGACTACACTCAGGAACTACAACTCCCAGAGGACTGAGAGAGGGACTACAGTCAGGAACTACAACTCCTAGAGGACTGAGAGAGAGACTACACTCAGGAACTACAACTCCCAGAGGACTGAGAGAGGGACTACACTCAGGAACTACAACTCCTAGAGGACTGAGAGAGAGACTACACTCAGGAACTACAACTCCTAGAGGACTGAGAGAGGGACTACACTCAGGAACTACAACTCCCAGCCGGAGAGAGAGACTACACTCAGGAACTACAACTCCTAGAGGACTAAGAGAGAGACTACACTCAGGAACTACAACTCCTAGAGGACTGAGAGAGAGACTACACTCAGGAACTACAACTCCTAGAGGACTGAGAGAGGGACTACACTCAGGAACTACAACTCCCAGAGGACTGAGAGAGGGACTACACTCAGGAACTACAACTCCCAGAGGACTGAGAGAGGGACTACACTCAGGAACTACAACTCCTAGAGAACTGAGAGAGAGACTACACTCAGGAACTACAACTCCTAGAGGACTGAGAGAGGGACTACACTCAGGAACTACAACTCCTAGAGGACTGAGAGAGAGACTACACTCAGGAACTACAACTCCCAGAGGACTGAGAGAGGGACTACACTCAGGAACTACAACTCCCAGAGGACTAAGAGAGAGACTACACTCAGGAACTACAACTCCTAGAGGACTGAGAGAGAGACTACACTCAGGAACTACAACTCCTAGAGGACTGAGAGAGAGACTACACTCAGGAACTACAACTCCTAGAGGACTGAGAGAGGGACTACACTCAGGAACTACAACTCCCAGAGGACTGAGAGAGGGACTACACTCAGGAACTACAACTCCTAGAGGACTGAGAGAGAGACTACACTCAGGAACTACAACTCCTAGAGGACTGAGAGAGGGACTACACTCAGGAACTACAACTCCTAGAGGACTAAGAGAGAGACTACACTCAGGAACTACAACTCCTAGAGGACTGAGAGAGAGACTACACTCAGGAACTACAACTCCTAGAGGACTGAGAGAGGGACTACACTCAGGAACTACAACTCCCAGAGGACTGAGAGAGGGACTACACTCAGGAACTACAACTCCTAGAGGACTGAGAGAGAGACTACACTCAGGAACTACAACTCCTAGAGGACTAAGAGAGAGACTACACTCAGGAACTACAACTCCTAGAGGACTGAGAGAGAGACTACACTCAGGAACTACAACTCCTAGAGGACTGAGAGAGAGACTACACTCAGGAACTACAACTCCTAGAGGACTGAGAGAGAGACTACACTCAGGAACTACAACTCCTAGAGGACTGAGAGAGGGACTACACTCAGGAACTACAACTCCTAGAGGACTGAGAGAGAGACTACACTCAGGAACTACAACTCCTAGAGGACTGAGAGAGAGACTACACTCAGGAACTACAACTCCCAGAGGACTGAGAGAGAGACTACACTCAGGAACTACAACTCCCAGAGGACTGAGAGAGAGACTACACTCAGGAACTACAACTCCCAGCTGGAGAGAGAGACTACACTCAGGAACTACAACTCCCAGAGGACTGAGAGAGAGACTACACTCAGGAACTACAACTCCCAGAGGACTGAGAGAGAGACTACACTCAGGAACTACAACTCCCAGCTGGAGAGAGAGACTACACTCAGGAACTACAACTCCCAGAGGACTAAGAGAGAGACTACACTCAGGAACTACAACTCCTAGAGGACTGAGAGAGATACTACACTCAGGAACTACAACTCCCAGCTGGAGAGAGAGACTACACTCAGGAACTACAACTCCCAGAGGACTGAGAGAGAGACTACACTCAGGAACTACAACTCCCAGAGGACTGAGAGAGGGACTACACTCAGGAACTACAACTCCTAGAGGACTGAGAGAGAGACTACACTCAGGAACTACAACTCCTAGAGGACTGAGAGAGAGACTACACTCAGGAACTACAACTCCCAGAGGACTGAGAGAGAGACTACACTCAGGAACTACAACTCCTAGAGGACTGAGAGAGGGACTACACTCAGGAACTACAACTCCTAGAGGACTGAGAGAGGGACTACACTCAGGAACTACAACTCCCAGAGGACTGAGAGAGGGACTACACTCAGGAACTACAACTCCTAGAGGACTGAGAGAGGGACTACACCCAGGAACTACAACTCCTAGAGGACTGAGAGAGGGACTACACCCAGGAACTACAACTCCTAGAGGACTGAGAGAGGGACTACACTCAGGAAATACAACTCCTAGAGGACTGAGAGAGGGACTACACTCAGGAACTACAACTCCCAGAGGACTGAGAGAGAGACTACACTCAGGAACTACAACTCCCAGAGGACTGAGAGAGAGACTACACTCAGGAACTACAACTCCTAGAGGACTGAGAGAGAGACTACACTCAGGAACTACAACTCCCAGAGGACTGAGAGAGAGACTACACTCAGGAACTACAACTCCTAGAGGACTAAGAGAGAGACTACACTCAGGAACTACAACTCCCAGAGGACTGAGAGAGAGACTACACTCAGGAACTACAACTCCTAGAGGACTGAGAGAGGGACTACACTCAGGAACTACAACTCCTAGAGGACTGAGAGAGGGACTACACTCAGGAACTACAACTCCTAGAGGACTGAGAGAGAGACTACACTCAGGAACTACAACTCCTAGAGGACTGAGAGAGAGACTACGCTCAGGAACTACAACTCCTAGAGGACTGAGAGAGAGACAACACTCAGGAACTACAACTCCTAGAGGACTGAGAGAGAGACTACACTCAGGAACTACAACTCCTAGAGGACTGAGAGAGGGACTACACTCAGGATCTACAACTCCCAGAGGACTAAGAGAGAGACTACACTCAGGAACTACAACTCCTAGAGGACTGAGAGAGAGACTACACTCAGGAACTACAACTCCCAGCTGGAGAGAGAAACTACACTCAGGAACTACAACTCCCAGCTGGAGAGAGAGACTACACTCAGGAACTACAACTCCTAGAGGACTGAGAGAGAGACTACACTCAGGAACTACAACTCCTAGAGGACTGAGAGAGAGACTACACTCAGGAACTACAACTCCTAGAGGACTAAGAGAGAGACTACACTCAGGAACTACAACTCCTAGAGGACTGAGAGAGGGACTACACTCAGGAACTACAACTCCCAGAGGACTGAGAGAGAGACTACACTCAGGAACTACAACTCCTAGAGGACTGAGAGAGAGACTACACTCAGGAACTACAACTCCCAGAGGACTGAGAGAGAGACTACACTCAGG